GGGACCCACAGAGGTGGCAATCAGCAAAGTTCCATGAAGCCATTCCCACAAAATAAAACTTAAAAATCATATAAGAAATGTTAAAAGCATATAAGGAAGGACTCAATTAGTCCAACGCGGTTTTTTTTTGGACTGGATTGAATCTGGGGCACATTAACATTGAGCTACGTCCCCAGTTGTTTTATTTGTAGACAGCTGGCCAAGCTGCTGGCCTCCACCTTGCGATCCTCCTGCCTCAGCCTCCTGACTGCTGGGATTACAGGTGGGCACCACCACGCCCAGCTGACAAACTGCTGCCAAGTCTCCTCTGTCCCAGGGCAGGGTGTGGGACAGAGGAGGAAAGCACAGGCTCTGTCCTGAGGGGCGCTCGGGGAGAGGAAGCTACGGGCAAGTCCGACGCTCCTAGTCGGGCAGAATGGGGACCCAGAGGAGGAGACGGCACTGGACAGCCTCGCTGACCACGAATGTGGGTTTGAGCCTGTGACTGTGATGTTCCCATGGGTCACGCGGGACACTGGTCCCCACCTCCCAGGCTGTGAGGGTGAGTGTGTCGGTGCTCGTGAGGGGAGGACAGGGGATGAGCAAGTCGTGTCCTTGGGAACAGTAAACAGAAACAGGACACCCGGGCCCTGCCAGGAGGGAGGCCGGGGGACCCGGGTGGGGACTGTGCAGGCAGAGCGGGCACCGTCCTTCCCTTCACTGGCACCGACCTGAGGAGCCGGTGTGGGTGGAAATGTCCCCACGGAAGGCTCTAAGGAGACTGGGCTCCCGGTCACCTGGTCCTGGTCCTGCCTCTCCTGGCCCTCTCCTCCGGCTCCTGGCTCTCCCGGGCCAGGAAGGCTCTCGGTAAAGGCCTGAGGCTGGGACGGTCACAAGCTGCAATGACCAAGTGGAAAAGAGACTGGGCGGGCGCCAGGTGCCGTGCTGTGGTGGCCTGGCCCAGAGGACAGCTGGACAGACACTCAGATCTTCTCAGCGGGGAGGGAGGGGGACGGGCCAGCTGGGGCAGGTGGATGTTAGATGAAGGAGCCGCCCCGGGGAGGACTGTCCAGAGAACCCTCCTCCTCACCAGGGGGCGTCTGGGGTGCCCAGGGCCACTGCGGAGGTGGCTCTCCTGACAGGACCCATCGCAAAACATAAAGTGACCAGCCCACTGAGCGAGTGGGGCCACTGCCCAGAGCGATGGCCAAGGGGAGGGCTTTAGAGACGGCGCAGGGGTCAAAGTCAGAGATGCCCCAGCTACTGCGTCCCTAATAGTGATGCGGACAGGTGACAATCAGTGTCACCTTGATGGACTGTTAGGGGCAGCGATTAAAATAACCAAGCAGCTCCGACTTTAAGGTGTTAAATGAAAGGAAAAAACAAAGGACCCTGAACACCGAGGACACACGTCCCTGTGAAACCGTCACAGACCAGAGCTCGGCAGCAGGCAAGAGGGGCTTCAGGTGACGGTGATCATTTTGGGCAAGACAAATGACAACCGTGTCCCCACAGAGACGGCAGCACGGTGCTCAGAAGGGTCTGACGGGGAGAGGGTCCCCCTCCTGGACTTTCTGAGCCACAGCAGCTGGGGGGGGTAGGGGGAGAGGACGGTCAAGTTCAAGTTCAGGGACGCCTCAGAGGCGCCACAGGCCCCAGGGAAGGTGCCCCAGCCAGGCCACAGCCACCAGGGGGGACCTTTCCGGGGCAGGGAGAGGGTGGCCGTTGAGGTGTCGTGGAGTAAACTGTCCACACTGAGAGTGGGAAGGACAGCTGTCACCACTCCTGTCACCAGACAAACGAGCTTGCTGTGCGTGAGTGTGTGACCACGGTCCTGGACTGAGAAGCACCAGAGGGGACATCCATCCTGCCCAGGGACAGATGCTCACGAAAACACCTGCGTCCCGGGAACGCGTGGCTTTCCTAGCCTGTGACCCCGGGTCCCGCGTCCCCGACACCACGTACCCTCTGGACGTGCAGGCGGGTGTCCAGGGCCTCCAGAAGCCCCGGCCTGCCAGCTGGGACGGCCAGGAGGGCCGGGGCATGACGGGGCGGGGTCCAGTGGGTCCTGGCGGACCCCGCACTCACCTGGGCCTGGTCCCCGCCAGCTGCGGACATGGAACGGCCTGGCGTCTCCTGGCTGTGAGGGCACCGTCCTCGGCTGGCTGCTGGGTAACTGTAAGACCAGTACCCGCCGCTGGCCCTCGGGTTCCGGGTTCTACCGCCTCATCTGGATGTCACAGAGAGCTCAGTGAGCCCACGCCCAGGCCACAGGTCCCCTGGATTTCAGAGGAATGGACCATCGCCCCCGCCTCTGGGAATCGGGTGGCGGGGACCACGGGGGTCTCCTGTGGACAGAGGTGGACACTCCCCCGGGGGATTTTAGGAGCAAAACAGTGACTTATGGGGCCAATTCAAATGACCTGCACCCGAGCACACCAAAGCCGGGGACAGACCCGGTGAGAATGATGCAGCGCAATGTCTCCTAAAACGTTAGAAGGCGGGGACGAGGCGCGGCCACGACTCTACTTGCTCCTGAGTTAAAAATGGCCCAGGAGATGGCCATGTCCAACGTGTGCCTGGAGGGCCAGCTGCCCACCCTGCAGCTCCTACGGGACCCCGCACACCGGAAATGGATCTGGACCCAGGTCAGCGCGACTAAGCAACTAAATTATAATTTCATCAAATTTAAAACTTGGTGCTAAATTGGGTCATTGGAACCACTCTACGGGCGCTGAGGTGTATCTGGGACCTCCTGGATGGGAGTCTGCTCTTTCCAACTGAGTATTTCATGGTTTCTAAACACGGATCAAACTTTCTGGATGAAAATGAAACGTCAAACAGCCATGAACACCTTCCAGGTATGAGCTACAGGCTAAAATGGCTTTGCACATGCTGGGCTGACTAAGATACATCACAGTTAACTTCACATTTTAAATGTGGTTCCCAGAAAACTGGAAATGAGCTGGGCACGGTGGTCACGTGGGTAATCCAGTGCCTGGAGGCTGAGGCAGGAGGATGAGAATTCAAGGCCAGCCTCAGCAATTTATGGAGGCCCCGTCTCTAATTAAAATATAAAAAGGGCTGGGGACGGGCTGAGTGGTTAAAGTACCTGATTCAATCCTGTTAAAAAAAAAAAAAAAAGACACTGGTGGCCTGGGGGTTCCTACAGGGCAGCGCTGCCCTTGCACCTGGACCTGAACTTGAGGATCTCTACCGCCACCTGCTGGACAGGCTGCTACCAACAGGACCTTGAGGAACAGGGAGGCCTTGGGAACCAAGGGCTCCGAATCCCAAGAGGACAGAGCACTGGGCTGAGGACACGCTGAACTGGGCTTATGCTGTCACAAGGGCCTGGAGAGAGGGTCACCTAGTCTCTGTGACCTGGAGGCAGCGTGCCCCACAGCAGCCACTCAACAGTGGCCACGAGATGACCTGCACACTGCTGTCCATGATGGTTGGTGGCACTCGCAGTCACGGCCCCTTCGGACGCCTGGCTGCGTTCACCCCTCGTCCTCCTGGTGACGCGCTTGACAGGCCCCCCTCCTCCCACCTTCCTCCTGTCATTTACTAGGTTCTCCCCTTTCCTACTTGTCTCTTGGTGTCCAGCGGCTCTAATTCCTTTTACTATTTCACATTTTTGGCCTCTTCCTCTGTCCTACAAATCGCTTCAGCTGTTGGTTCTTCTACTCCTGATATTTAAGTTTTTGCTTGATTTTTGTCTATGGGACAAGATAAAAGCCCAAGGTCATAATTGTGCCTGGGACGTTCGGGGGTCCCAGCCCCCTGCTGGGAGGCTCCTCTCTCCCCCTGGAAGGTCTTGGCCTTGTCCTTATCGAAAACCAGCAGACCCTGAAGCAAGCTTGTCCCCCGACCTGCGGCCTGTGCTGGGCCAACACCAGGCCCTCGGGATTACGGACTGGGGCTGCGCAGTGAGTCTGTGCCTTGGGCAGTGACAGTCCCCAGGCTCTGTCCTCTGACAAGACTGTGGTGGCTACTCAGGGTCCCCTGCATCTCCTGGTGGATTTTAGGGTCACCTGTCGGTTTCTGCAGAAAAGGCAGCTGGCTTAGTGGGGCCCAACGAGTAGGTGTGGAAAGAGGGTTTGATGACGAGACCAACTGGTGACACCATGACACAGGTCTGATGGCTTCGCCCGTCTTTCTACAGTTCAGAGGTGGCTTTCTCAGGGCCTGGGTGGCTCAGACAGTGCTCACCCTGTTAGTAAGGCCCCAGGGACCCCTGCTCACTCCACGCAGCCCTGAATCTGACCCAAGCAGGCTCCAGGGAGTGAGCGAGGCTTGAGGGACAGGGGACCGAGGGGCAGGAGGGCCGGCGAGCCGAACGGCTTTACTTGTCACAACTAAGGAGCAGCAGGCTTTGGGTCCAGCAGCCTCCGGGATGCCCGGGTCCTGAACACACTTGTCAGACGGCCGCTGTGCACGCAGGTGTGTGTAAGGGACAGTGTGACGGCAGAAGCACGTCAAGGACTTCCTCGTTGGCCTCTTATGAAGTGCCCTTCCCTGGTCTCACCATGGCAGTGTGACTCTATGCCACCAGCTCCAGGGTCCTCGTGGACGCTGGATCATCCTGTCCCCCGCTCACCGTCCCCCACCTGTGCCCGGTCAAGGGACCTGGAAACTGGATCCCTGGAATGAAGGCGCAGGGATTCGCAGGGTCTAGGAACAGGACCTTGGATCTAGGTCACAGGTGGGCACGGACCAGTCCCAGGCTCCTCGGGACCCAAGCTTCTCCTTCTCCACAGCCGCACAGCTGCAATCCCAGGGACGCTAACTGGATCAGGGCTGCGTGAAGGGACACAGGGAGCCCCCACCCATCAGAGAGGAAGGAACCGCCCCACTGCCAGCGGTTCTTGTCCCACCCCCTTCTGTCCCTCGGTGGGAAATCCAGCCTGGAGCCCAGGCCTTCCAGGGACAGTACAGGAGGACAGGAAGCCCTGTCCCTAAAGCTGGGTCCCCTCTCTGAGAGAAAGACGCCGTCCACAGCACACACCAAGCCAGAATGCTTTCCGAGGTCATGTCACTTGCTTGTAATAGGATATCATCTCATCCAGAGTTTCAAAGGTGACCCTGGGGGGTTGGGGTGGGCCTCCAGGGGCAGAGGAGGACGGTGACCGTGCGGAGCTGGGCTCCTGGCTCTGGCCAGACCGCTGCCCTGGGTCACCCAGTGCTGGTCCAGGTCTGCTCCACGTCTGGCCACTGAAAGCACCAGTTCTCTTTTGACCCACAAAGTAATCCGATGGCGGGGCAAACTCGGGATCTCGCTCGGCCCGCAGGTCTGACTGTCTCTTCGACCAGTACCCAAAGGAAAATTCTGGTGACAATAAGAAAGAGTACTGTTAGAACTGACTGATGAATCAGTTAAATTTAGAGTTATCGTTTTTCAATCGTTGTGCATCTTTTTTCTTTGGTACCAGGGATTGAACCCTGGGGTGCTTCACCACTGAGCCACATCCCCAGCCCTTTTTATTTTTTATTTTGGGACAGGGTCTTATTAAGTCGCTGAGGCTGGCCTCGAACTTGTGATCCTCCTGTCTCAGCCTCCAGAGCTGCTGGAATTACAGACATGCTCCACCCTGCCCTGCTCAGTTATTATATCTGTATTTTTAAAAATCACAAATTCTCTGAAGAACAAGGACAGCAACAACAAGACCGTATTATATAATATATGCAATAAATACTTGCAAGAAGTCAGGCTAAGAGAGGGGAGAAACGACTCCACTACACTCCATGAAACAGAGAATGTTAAGACTGTCAGACATGGGGAGGCACTCGGCACCCAGACACAAATCTTGTCCTTACTGAGTGTTTGAAGGTGTGAAGTGGGCTGTGAGGCCCAGCCTGACTGGTTTTTCTACTCTATTTCTAAGTGGCTCTGGCGTTTCCCGCTGTTTAGCTCTGCATCGCATCGGCCCGGGCAGCGCACCTCAGGTTCTGCCAGAACGATCCCTTCCCAGGAGGCTCAAGCTGGACTCCCCAGGAGAGGCTGCTGCAGGCCCTCGGTCAACTTGCAGGAATGAGTTTACAGACAAGTCTGCTCACGGGGGAGCCAGGCTAAGGGGGGCACGCAGGTCACTTCCACTGTGCACACGGGAGACTGCTGGACAGGGGCTTCCCCACACCAGACCTGCATCCCCACACCTTAAAGTAGTTCCTGAAAAGTGATGTTCCAGAAGTGTGAAACCACGGGAGGGCATGGATCCTGCTCCCCAAGTGCTTCTCTCACACGCACACACACACACACACACACATGCGCGCATGCTCTCTCTCTCTCTCCATGAGGGCTTTGTGGGTACATCCTGGTCCTTTCCCAGGATGTTTTCTAGCTGTGTTCACAAACAGCTGGTGGCGAGCATGCCAAGATCAGTGTGAGGGTCTGGGTTCCTAAGTCTCGAGGGACCCTAAGACCCACCACGGAGCTGGGCCTGTGGCTCAGCGGAGGGGCATGTGCCCAGCACGGAAGAATGAGAAACAGAGCGAGAACCCCCAGGACCCCACTTTGATAAAAGCAAAGCCAGCACAGCCCACCTGCCGCCTGCCCGGCCTCGCTTACCCTTCCCTCTGTCCCATTCGCGGACGTGCGGCACTCCGGGCTTGGTGTCCTTCCTCTCCTGGATGATGACTTCGACTTTGCTGCTCTGGGTGGCAGGAGGCGGAGTTGGCCCAGGTTTTGGTTCTGGAGCCGGAGGCCCGATAACGGCTGCGTCTGTTTTTTGTAAGGAAACAAAGTCCTCATTATGACAACAGAAGAACCAGACATGCCACTCCTGAGAGACAAGTGGCACTCAGGACTTACTTCAGCTCAGCAATGTCCCACAGGGGTCAGACCCCAGGCAGGGTAGACACGAGTCTCTGTCCCCACCACGTCTCTGCTGCACAACTGGTGATCTCAGGACCAGAAGAGCCCCAAGTCCTCAACCCGAGTCACACTCCCAGCCCAGCAGCGGAGGCTGGGGGTGCAGAGCGGGACCTGCTCCAGGCTGCGCCATTCGGGCCAGATTTTAAAATTTTTAAATGAGACGATTTCTGAAAAACACTGCAGTGACCCTTCACAGCTGGGAATGAGGACATTCAGGACACACAGCAAAAAAGCAGGCAACACGAAGAGCTCACCCTGCACAAAACCACGACACCTATATGAAAGTTTTCAGATTTCTAGATCTTTCTGGTGTCCTTTCAGGGCTAACTGAGGTTTTGCTCAGATGTTAGAAAACGGCTCACTGCAGCCCGAGGTCCCTCCCAGGAGCCTTTCCCAGCCCCCCTGCCCCGCCTGCAGCCTGTCTGCCCTGGGCCTGAGCCCTGCCTGTGGGCTGTCAAAGCACAGGTTCCGGGTGACTTCTGACCCACGTTCCTCAAGAGGAAGCGGCTCCCCTCTCCTCCTGGCCCCTTCCCTGGGCTGATGGGGAGTGGGAGCTGGGGAGAGCTCTGGCCTCCAGGACAGCAGGATGCGGAGGACCCCCTGGGGCAGAGCTGCCCTACGAGCCCCCCACCCGGCCACCTCTGAAGAACTAAAGGGAGAAACAGGCCTCTGTCTTCTCTGCCCCACAAGGGTCCCCACTGCAGTAGCTCAGCTGCTTCTCCATCCCGCACACAGGAAGCTAGTGGGACAGCACTGAGCAGCGTAGCCACGGGATGCTGTGCCCCCAGTGCCCAGTCACCAACTGCTGCAGCACTGTTTTTTGGTAATCCATATTCATGTCTCTGAAGTTTTATTTTACTACCAAGTTTATGAATGAATTTGAAAGCAAGAGGATGTGGGAAAGGCCCACTCACACACTGCTGGTGAGCCTGCAAACAGGGCAGCCAACATGGAGAGCAGCATGGAGACTGCTCAGAAAACTGGGAATGGAACCACCATGTGACCCAGCTGTCCCACTCCTCGGTCTATACTCAAAGGACTTAAAAACAGCATACTACAGGGACACAGCCACACCAATGTTTACAGCAGCACAATCCACAATAGCTAAACTGTGGAGCCAACCTAGATGCCCTTCAACAGATGAATGGATAAAGAAAGTGTGGTACATATACACAGTGGAATATTACTCAGCCATAAAAGAGAATAAAAGTATGGCATTGGCAGGTAAACGGATGGAGTCAGAGAATATCATGCTAAGTGAAGCCAGCCAATCCCCAAAACCTGAGGCTGATCCATAAAGGGGGAGGGGGCATGGGAGGATTGGAGGGGTAGGGACAAAGGGGAGGGAGGGGTGGGGAGGGGGTATGGGGGCAGGAAAGACGGTGGAATGGGAAGGACGTCATTACCCAGGCACACGTATGACTGCACCTATGATAGGACGCTACATCATGTACAACCAGAAAAGTGAAAAGTTGTGCTGCAGTTGTGCACAATGACTCAAAATGCATTCTGCTATCATTCTGCTGTCATATGCGCGTAATTAGAATGAATTTTAAAAAGTACTACAGCCATTAGTCAAAAAAAAAAAAAAAGATGTCTAAAAGACCAGGAGGAAGTGTGAATGTTTCCCCATAGAGGCCTAATGAACACACTTGCCCTGGTTTAAGAATGACACATACAGTGCACTTGTACGAATATGTAACAGCAAGTTCCCCCACCCACACAGTCGGGTGTGCTGGGCGTTGGCCCAAGAAAGGGCTACACACGCATGCACTTATCCACACGTCACGTGGATCCCGTAAATACGCACAATTGTTTGGTATATTTAAAAAATAAATTTAAAGTAAAAATGTTAAGTGCATGATAACATATATATAAGCCTGACTTCACTTTCCCTTAAGGTGCTTTCCTTTGGGTCTTGGTGACTAACCACCACGTTAGGAGGCCGCCCAGTGAATCATCTGTCTGCTGTACAGAAGTATCTCAGTGTCATCTGCATCTCTCTGGTCACACACTGCTCGTGGCAGGACCCCCAAGCTGCTGTTAAAGGCTTAGGTAAACTGCGGCTCGCTCCCCACAGCAGCCCTGCGGGGGGACGCAGACGGAACCAGCTTCCCCTCCTGAGGGTCAGAGCCCTGAGCCGCGCGCTACCTGGGTCGCCCTCTTCCGTTCCGTCGTCTTTTGACTTTTTCATCTTCTTTTGGCGCAGCTTGGCCAGCCTGGCTTCCAACAGAGCCTTCCGCTTTTCCTTTATGTTTTCCCGTTTGATTCTCTGATCTGTTGTCTAGAGAAAAAGCCAGAAAATTATTTTTTTTTGGAGTCAGACAGACTCATTGGTTCTCACAGCACATCTGAGAAGCTACCATGGGGACGCTGAGAATGAAGACCTAGGAGGTGCTCTTGTGAGGACTCTCTGGGGGCCGGGGTCACAGGCACAGCGCTGGCCCGGCACGTGGGAGGCCCTGGGTTCCATCCCCAGCACCACAGGAAAATAAATAAAATAAAGGCATCTGTCCACACACGACTACCAAAAACAGAAAAAGAAAATGACTCTTAAAAAGTCTTAGAAAGTTTAAGAAGAACATCTTGAAACCAAAGGCCGAACGTTCTCCCTGCTGCCCATGTACCTGCTCGCGCAGCGTCTCCAAGGTCTTCATCTGCTTGCTCCTCAGCTCCTGGTCTCGGGCAAAGGCAAAATACCCAACACCCAGCTGCCGGGCCTCTGGAAGGAGTCAGTGAGATGCAGAGATCAGACTTCCCTGAGCACCAGACGATGCTCAGACCAGATTTCCCAACCACACCAAAACCTGTGTGCTCTTTGCACAGGTGTTTTAAAATGTTCCATTTTTTTAATGCACAATTAAGCCAAAAAAAAAAACAAAGTTGGAACTACTTTTTATCTTGTTTGCAAAGATGCGTCCACCTCCAGCCACAGCTGTACATAACAGCTGGGTCCACAGACGCTGCAGGAGGGAGACGTTCTCCATGTGAGTGTCCCCTGGGCTCTCGAGTGGGCAAGGGGCATCACTCCAGGGCAGGGTCTTCTCTGCCAGAGCGACCACCTGTGAATGCTCCCCGTTACACCTGCCCCCAGGCCACGATCTTAGAAAATGGCTTGAAAAGCTGCGAGGGACCAGCAATACCGTTCTCCCGGATGTCCTCGTAGTGCAGGGGACCCACGGGCCGCTGCAGGGCCTCCCGCTCCTCCTCCTCCCACTGCTGACGCTGCAGCTCCTTCCTCATGTCCTCGGACAGCAGGGTCTTCTCGTTGGCAGGACTGACGAAGCTGGGGGGCACACGGCACAGTAAGGCTCGCTGCAGGTCACCCGGGGGCGGCCCTGCTGGAGCTCAGCGGCGGGGACCAGGGGAAAGCAGCACTGTTGGGTAGGAGGAACTGGGGCCTGTGTGCATGGCCGCCAGGGACACAGAGCTGCCCAACACTGCACCCAGGGGGGCCTCCTGTCCTGAGGTGGCCGAGGTGGCCGCTGTCCTTTCCTATGCAGAGCCCAGGCCTGTCCACAGGATGCCCGAACCTGGGGGTGGGACGAGGTGGCGTTTTTCCTCACACTTTTTATACAGAAGTGGCTCATGGAAGAAGGACTCTGTTCCCGGATGTTTCAGCAAGTTCGATCCCATGAAGGGAAGGGAGTGATGGGGCCTTGAGTTTAAAACCCAAAGACGATCAAAGGGAAAGCAAGTCAGCCAAGGCTGCCCACCCCACCTGCCTGTGGGTGAGTGAAGGGGTGTTGGTTCTCAGGCCCCATCTCCATCTCGCCTGTGGGCCTGCCCTGGCCTCCCTCTGCACTGGTCACTCTGTCATCAGCCCCTAAGCTCCACCAGTTCCTTTCAGTAGCTGCGACACACAGATGATCAGAGCAGGTGCCCACAGCGGCCTTCGCCACCTGGGAGGCTGAGGCAGGAGGACGGCTGAGGACCAGGAGTTCAGGACACGAGGGAAGACTGTCCCTGAGTGTGGGCCACGTACGTACGGGCAGGCCACCTACTGGACACCTTCACTAAGTGCTCTGTGAAGGAAACAGAGCCTTTATGACTACGTACCACCTAACGCAGGGAGGTGGCCGCGCGGACCTGGCCAGGGGTGCCGAGGTACTCACAGTCTCCCCTGCAGGTTCTTGTCCATCTCCAGCAGACCCGGCAGGTCCTTCCTCATGCAGCGCCGGGATCGCCCCAGAGAGTCCACGTAATCCACCCTGAAATCAGTGACAAGGCGTGAGAAGGCGTGGCACCCCGGTCCCCAGGTCAGGGAGGTGGAGCCGGCGAGGAGGGGACGCAGGCTCAGCCACCACCGAGAACACGCTTCTCAACACTGGCACACGACGGGCTGAGGCCCAAGGGCCTCCACCAGACCTTTCAGTTTCAGAGGCCACAGGTGACACTCCGCCTCTGGTTTCAAAGGTGACTCTCCCACCGAGAAACCTGCCCCGCCACCTGGGAACCCACTGCATGTTGTCAGGTGGTCACAAACACAGCGTCAGCATCCCGTGACTTCACTTTGTCCCCTGGGTCCCCACTGCCCATTTCCTTAATTCTTCTCGAGTCTGACTTTCTATTTCCTTTATTTCTTCCAACGGTGACAATTCTTCCCAAGGAGTCAGAAATCGCTTATCATATGTCATTGTGTTTTCTGGGCTTTAATTAGCAGGAAACCGAACAATTCACCTCTGTCCTGGTCTCTGCCTGGTCTAGATGGTGGGGACACGGGGGCAGGACAGGAGGGAGACGCTGACATTTCACCCACATTATGACGCGTTCTCCGGAGAAGTTATGGGCAGGGGGTGTCCCCGGCCTTCAGCAGGGCCCTGGGCGCACAGTGGGACCTCAATGAGGACTAACTGGTGGAACCATCAGACTCAGACTCCATGGGCCGGGCTTTCTCCGGCTGGCCATTCCCTTCCTAGCGGGCAACGCTGATTTTGATCAATGGCCCCTGATTTAGAACCCGAGGGTCTGGACTTCCCGTCTGTGGCCCCACCGCTGATCCAGCGGAGAAGCAGATCCTCCGACTGTAGAAAGCAGCTTCTTCCCCTTTTCTAATGAATGGGAGGGAAGACAACCGGCCAGATGGTCCGAGGGATTATTTACGGTATTTTGGGGGGAAGATTTTCCACCACCTGGAACTTAACTCCTCAGAGGAGTTTCCAAGCAGTTGGATTCTGGAGCTTGGTTTAAAAACAAAACAAAACACAAAGCGTCAGAACTGCTTGCGGTGCGTCCTCCTTCACCACAGGGTGGCATGTGACACCGCACGTGCCCCCAGAGCTCTTCAATCCACTGGCAAATCGCTCGTGATCACAGAGGCCTTAATAAGCCAAAGGTCTACAGGAGACATCAGTGCTTTCAAGGGTCTGTTCTGCTTCTGAGGCCGCCAGCTCAGACCCCTCAAAGCAGAGCAGGGCGGCGGTGGTGGCTGTCAGATCAGCGGTCCCTCGTCCCTGAGCAAGCCCCATCTGGGGCCAATGAGGGGAACCAAGGGTGACTCCAAGGACGGTTAATGTCACTCCATCTCCAAAGGGCTCTGGGGAGGGTGACGCGCGGGCCCAGGAGAGGCCAATGCGATCAGGCAGGACCCAAGGACGACCCTATTTCTTCTTGGATGTTTTCCTGGCAAATTTCAATCATAACTTAAGATCCCCCAAAGCAGGGAGTGCATTAAGTGTCACCCAAGTTTACAGGAGGGACAAATCACTTAGATTAGCAATGGGGACGAAGGGCTGTGACAAGGGACGGGACCCTGTCTTTTAGTGTGCAGCTACCCCACACCCAGCCACCCAGCTAGGAGTCCTAGACAGTAGAGATGACACCTGTTTTATCCCAATAAAATGCTACCTTGGGCCGAGGGCGGAAAATCGCTAACAAAGGCCACCCACCGACTTCCCCGGGCAGCTGGTGAGAACTGCCCGCCCCTCCCAGTGCAGCCCCCTGAGGCTCAAAGGCAGGACAGGGGCAGGGTCGGCCGGGAAGGGGTCAGAGGTGCCCGGGGCCCTCAGGCACTGCCCAACAGGGCTCCTAAAGACAACGTCGCAGGCAGAGACTCCAGCACAGTGGGACTGTCATTCTGGTCTCTATGAGGAAAGCCTGGGCTCTGTCCCCACCCCTTCACCTACACGGAGGTGGCACCCAGAAATCGCCCGTGACAAAGCTCCCCAGGCACCCGGGGGCCTCCGGAGAGCAGCACCCAAGTGGCCCCGGTTGGCCACAAAGCAAAGGTCACACACTGCAGCCTCCACCTTACAGATGAGGGAACTGGGCCTCCGCGGTCAGAGAGGTGACTGTGGTCACACGGGCAGCAGCGGGTGGCAGTGGAGCTGTCCAAGGCCACAAGGCCCAGACCCCATGGCTGAAAATGACATGGCCACAGCGGGGCTCGACTGGGGGCTCCCGCTTCTGCCTAAACAGCTCTTCGGTGTCGGGGAGCAAAGTGCTGAGGATGTCCCCAAGCACCCCTGGGCCTGGCACAGCGCTGGATGACAGCAAGGGCTCGGTCGTCACATGTGATCACTGTTGTCTCTGTGGGAGCCACTGCCTGACCTCTGTGACACGCTGACCGCCCTCACTTAACAGGGGTCCCCAGTCAGGGGTGCTGGCCCACACCTGTCATCCCAGGGGCTGGGGAGGCTGAGGCAGGAGAATCGTGAGGTCAAGGCCAGCCTCAACAAAAGTGAGGCCCTAAGCAACTCAAGGAGACCTTGTCTCTAAATAAAATGCAAAATAGAGCTGGGGACAGGGCTCAGGGGTTGAGTGTCCCCGGGTCCAAGCCTTGGTACTAAAACATAAAGGGTCCAAAGACAGAAAACCAACACACAGCACCCCCCCACACACCCACCATTCTTCACCGGGGTCCTGGGGGGGAGGTATGTCTTTCTCTGAGAGACGCTCGTCGTCCTCCTCGTCCCTCTCGGCCGTGTTCCGGGACTCTCTGGCGGCACCGGATGCCTCCATTTCCCTGCGCTTGTCTATGATCTTCTGGGTGAAGTCCACGAGGTACAGCTCCTCCACCTCCTCGTCTAGGACACAGGGACAACATTCAGGCCTCGACGTCACGGAAGGGAAGCACCCAGGACCCTGTTCCAGGTCACCGGGAGGCTCCACTGCCCCTGCCAGCTCAGCAGTCAATGCCCCCACCCTGGGAAGGTCACCAAGGCACAGAGGTGCCCGCCCCTGACGGAGCTGGGAGCAGGCCACGGGAATCGTGGACACACAGAAGCTGCAGTTTCCTGCCACGCGTCTCAGGACGCCCTGGGGACGCCACAGCCCTGCCTTTCTCAGGCCATCAGGTGAGGATGGGGACCGTGCTCTGCTGCAGGCCCCACACACCTCCCAGACCCAAGGCCGCGTCCCCTGCCTCACACAGGGAGAGGACTTCTTTTCCAGCCAGTGGCCTTGGCGTTCAGACAGGCCCAGGCGCGCTCTGCAAGGCACACAGGGGGCAGTGATGTCCACCCGCAGGGCCTCGGTCACTGAGGACCAGAACACAGGGACAGTCACGCAGCCACCCCGACATTAACTTAACCCAGGACAGCTCCTGCGTGCACAGGTTAAGGGAAATGCCACCGTGTTGGGTTTAGGTCGCACTTAGGAGAGGCAGCGGTGACCCGGGCCAGCCCTGCCTGCCCCCTAGCTACACCCGGGTCCCAGGCTGGGCTCCTGCTGGCCAGCCCCTCCCTCACCCATCTGCTCCCCGGACCCTGCAGAAGGCTTTGCTCCAGCTCTGCACACCTTAGGGGGCACCCCACGGCCCCCCTCCTCCCCGATAATCACCCGGCCACAGACCCACGGTCCCTGTCCTCTGGGAATGGAATGTACACTGCTCCATAAAAGCCTGTCCCACTGCTGGCTAACTCTGAGCTGGACTTTCTTTTTCTGGGGGTCTGAGGGAAGGGTTTTATTATCACTGCTTCAAAGCAGCCATAAGCACGACGTGGAAATATGATTAAAAAATACAAGGAGCCGGGGGCAGTGGTGCTCGCCTGGGACCCTAGTGGCTGGGGAGGCTGAGGCAGGAGGATCGTGAGTTCAAAGCCAGCCTCAGCAATGGAGGCCCTAAGCAACTCAGCGAGATCTTACCTCTAAATAAAACACAAAATAGGGCTGGGGATAGGGCTCAGTGGTTGAGTGTCCCTGAGCTCAGTTCTCCTCGCACACTCCCCACCAAAAATTAAAAATCAAAATAGTAAAAAGAAAAGAGAACCCTAGGGCCTGGTATGACCACGACTCCACCCTGCCTTTCCCCTGCTCAAACGCAGCTGTGACTGTAGGTAAGTAAGGGAGGCTCATTTAGACCTTATATCCTGACTGTGCCTGGTCCTGTGCCCTCTTTCTCTACCTGGGGACATCTGTCCCTGAGGGAAGACATTGAGCGGCTGGGCCCGTGCTGGCTGTCTCCCCCCAGCACCCTGCACAGCACCCACAGGGCAACCTGGAAGTCGCTCTGCACTGTTCCTGTGCCGCCAGAGAAAGCAGGATTTTCTTAGTTATTTTTATTTATTTGTTTACTTTTGGGGGGTGCCGAGGCTTGAACCCAGGGCCTCCCGCAGGCCAGGCGAGCCAACGAGCCCCAGCCAGCCCAGCCCCAGCCCAGCCCTCTCACTCTTCTAACAGTAACAAATAAAGTCGTAACTCAGAATCAATCAGTATAAATAAACACACTTACCTATAAAGTCTCCTTTAGTCATTTTTTCGTATAACTTGGCTTTTTCTTCCAATTTTTCCCTGGGAGAAAAAAAGACACAAGTATTAGAAATGGCCTCCCAACTGTCCCTCCTGGTGAGGGGCCACCCCCTCAGCCTGACAGCTGCCATCTGCCCAGGAGGCCTGGCTAACGAGGTGGCCACAACTAAAGGCCAACAGGCTGAGCTAGGACAGCCCCACGGCCCCAAGGACATGTGTCCCAGTGTCCCAGGACCTCACACCTGGCCACAGCAGCCCCTTAGTGAACATGGGACTGAACGAATAAATGACAAGGTCCCACTACTCAACCTAACTGCTAACGCAACCGAAATCCACAGCAAACGAGACGCCTGGGAACAGAGACATCTTCTAGTCGTGGATGCTGGACAGGAGACCAAAGTGGAGACCAAGCTTTATGCATGGCTGCTTTAGACACAGCCCTGGCCTCTCGTGGACCTGAAAACCAACTTCTTAGAAGTCTATTAAAAATACAATAACGGGGCTGGGGCTGGGGCTCAGGGTAGAGCGCTCACCTCGCACGTGCAGGGCCCTGGGTTCGAGCCTCAGCACCACATAAAAATAAATAAATAAAGGTATAAAAAAATTATTTAAAAACCATGAAGATGTGGGTGCCGTGTGCACACCTGTGATCCCAGCAACTCGGGAGGCTGAGGAAGGAGGATGAAGTGTCGAGGCCCGCCTGGGCAACCCAGCAAGGCCTCATCTCCAAGTAGAAAATAACAACTGAGGGATGGAGCCGGGGGGTGGGGCGTCCTGGGTTCAACCCCCAGGACCTCGAGAGGAAAAAGAAAAAAAAAAGATCAAGTCTGTTTGGCGGAGGGCATGAATAATGGATGGGGACACATTTGCTAATAAAGAGCAGACGACAACTTGGCATTTCGGTGAAGCAGCCTCTCTGCTCAGATGGACTCGGGTGACATTTATTTTTCGCAGGCGCAGGCCGGCTGGGAGGGCAGGCGGATCTTTAATCCAGAAACACTCAATGATAGGAAAGCACCCAGAGGTCACCTGCTCCTCCTCTTGAGAATGACCTTCATCACAATGGGCCATTTCATCTCTAATGTCATCCGGAGCCTGTGAAGTCCTGGGTCGCTGCTGTGACAAGCTACTGACCTTTCTGGGCCTCAGTTCCCCCAGACAGACGGAGAAAGGAAACCCAAGGCTACTGCCTCCCAGGTCATCCTGGGGATCAGCCAGATGCCACACGCACAGCCCCGTCGCCCTGGAGACGGCCATGGTCCAGGGCAGCAGGGTCCCCTTTGACTTCCCACAGGCAGCAAGTCCCCACCACAGGCCTCCCACGGCCACGCTCTGTCCTAGGAGGACGCAGCGAGGCCCACTCCTGCCCAGCGGCTCTGGTCTGGGAGGCGTGGTGCAGTGACTGGGCCCTCACAGGCTGTTGGTGTCGTCACCAGACAACTTCAAAAAATCAAAACAGAACCCCAAGGTGTCAAGAGCCCAGAAGCAGGTGGGATGCTGACTCAGGGATGGTGGCCAGGGGACAGCCCTCTGAGGGTGACCAGTAAGCCAGAGGAGGCCCAGCACAGGGCGATGGGGCAGGCAGTGCGACCAGGCAGGGGAGGGCGCAGGGGAGGGCGCAGTGCCAGGTGGGAGCAGGGTGGCAGAGGGAGCTAGGAGAGGGAGGCGGGGGACAGGAGGTCCAGTGCAGCCAATGGCGGCCCACAGCTGTGATCCCAGTGAGCCAGAGGGCCACGTTCAAGGGCGGCCTGGGCAGTCAGTGAGCCCCCGCCTCCAAATAAGGAATGAAAAGGGCCGGGGCTGTGCTGGGGCAGGGCACCCGGGCTCCACCCCCAGGACCAAAAATCAGAAAAATGTTTGGCGCAGGAGGTGACAGGGTTGGGGGGCAGGAACGGTCTGCCAAGGACAAAGGAGGCCAAGAGAGAAATGGCCACTGGACTCTGCAAAGGAAGACGTTGGTGACTTTCAAGAGCAATTTCTTTGGTTGAGGATGGAAGATGGGACCCAGAGTGTGAGAGGACGGGACGCTGCGCCTGCCACCTACCGCGCACCAGAGACCACCTTGCTTCACGGTGTGCCATCTAATGGAGCTGTGACCCACCCAGGGGAGGAGCCCGGGCGGCCCTTCCTGGTTCTGAGCCCCGGGGAGGAAACATCCCACAGACCAGGGAAACCGGGGCCTTGGGTGACAGTCACTGGGGAGGAAAGGCACAACCGCGTACAAGACAGACTCTGCTGGAGCACAACAGGGCAAGGTCTCGGCACCTGTTTCACAAATCAAAGTCCTGAGCACATGTTCAATAGCAAAAGGACGTCGCAGTGGCCATACCGTAGCTGGGCACGGGGCACATGGCTGTGGTCCTAGTGGCTCAGGAGGCTGAGGCAGGAGGATCACAAATTGAAGGCCAGCCTCAGCAACGTGGCAAGATCCTGAGGAACTTGGCTAGACCCTGTCCCCAAATCACAAAAAACGGCTGGGGATGTGGCTCAGGGGTTAAACTCCCCTGGATTCAATCACTGGGACCGAAAAATTTCTAAAAATTAATATTATAAAAGGCCATGTCTTTAAGTGAAGCCTGTGGTCAGCTGCAGACAGGCCAAGCACCACGAAAATACGCCCCCAGGTGGGCTGACATCCTGCCCTGAGTTTCAGAGCCACAACAGCCGAGCAACCCAGTAAGCACTGCTGGCGACTGTAAAGGTCTTTGTTTTATTTTTAGTATTTTTATTGATTTATTTTTTGGTCCCAGGGATTGAAACCCAGGGGTGCTTAACCCCTGAGCCCCGTCCCCAGCCCTTTTGATATTTTACTTAGAGACAGGGTCTCCCTGAGCTGCTTAGGGCCTTGCTGAATTGCTGAAGCTGGCCTCCACCTTGTGATCCTCCAGCCTCAGCCTCCTGAGGTTCTGGGATGACAGGCGTGAGCTACCACACCTGCCAGCTCTAGAGTCTTTATCACCCAGTGTGTCCAGAACCATAGATGACCATCGGGGCAGACATGACCACCTGGGGCTCTCTGAGTTAAGGGGGACCCTGTCTCTTCTTTGCAGATGCCTGAATGGAAAAATAATTAAGACAGAATCAGAAAAATCACCATTTTGAAACTGTCCGTGTACTAACTGAGGAGCACCACGTCTACCAGCAAGGACAGACCATGGCGGGAAAACAGGACACCAGAGTCTCCAGTTTCCCACCTCAGGCTACGGCTGACTAGGAGCGGGGACGGCCACCCTCACAGTGCAGATGTGGCAGACCTACCCTGACCTGGTGACCAGACTCACCACCACTCAGGATGACCCGCACCGGCCCCGCCAGCCTCTGGTACCCAGAGCTTCAACAGGACCCCACCTGGTCGGGCTTGCTGTTGAAGCACCCGCCAGGCGCTCAGCAAAGTCAAGGGCACGAGAGGCACAGGACAGAGAGGGGACTGCGCTACACGGAGGGGGCTGAGAGGTCGGAGCAAAGGCGACGGGTTATCTTGGGATCCTGCATCTTTTTAAAACATCACAGGACATGACTGTACTAGGAGAGCTGTCAGGATCAGAAATACAGACCAAAATGGACTGCAGAATCGATGGCACCATTTCACATGCTGAATTTCTCGGGCAGGACAAGTTAGGTGCTGAAATATTCAGAAGTCCAGTCTCACACTAGGGCGTGGGGGCGGAACAGGGGTGGAAGGGGGGGAAGAAAAACCAGCGAGTATTCCAAAGGCCCCTACAGCCTCCTTGCTCACTGTGCTGGTCTGGGGGCAATCAGGGTCTCTAAATGCCAACGTCATGCCACCTAGAACCCAGAACCACACCACGGGGACTCCTTTTAAAAACCTGTGGACAGGGCCAGGCACGGTGCAGCACACCTAGCATCCCAGCTAGTCAGGAGGCTGAGGCAGGAGGATCCCAAGTTGGAGGCCAGTTTGGACAACGTAGTGAGACCCTGACTCAGAATAAAAGATAAAGGATTGGGGACACATCTCCGAGGTAGGGCCTCCCTGAGTCCAATCCCTGATACTGTGCAAAAGCAAAGAAACCAACAAACAAAAACCTGTTGATGTTATTAGTGTCTATCAACAGTCCAGGGAAGGATCCTCTTCGTCTTTTAAACCGAGACTGTGTCCTTTCATTTTGTAAAACAACAGATACAAATGCAGATTATATTCTTTTTAGAAGAACAGTTGGACCTCCATATCCAGATCCCACATCTCCACACTCAACTCACTAGGGATCAAAAATATTCGGAAAAAATGTCACACTGTGGCTGGTGGGCACTGTGCGGTGAGTGTCTCTGTGGAACGTGGACAGAACTGTTTCTTGTGATTTTTCCCAAGCTGTACAGAGTCAGCACTACTTACTCCACAGTCACATCGTTTTAGCAAACACTCTACCACAGTCAGCAGGACCGTGTGGCTTCTGTGCGAATATTTTGTCATTTTACCTAAAGGCCTCAAGCACCCTTGGCCGTAGGTATCTGCAGGGACGGGTCCTGACACCAAGGCCCCCTGAATGCGAGGAGCCACTGCGTTGGCACCCACAGTCCACACAGCACCTGGCTAGGGGGACGCGACATCACATTTGGAAATCAAGAGTCAGATCCGAACGCTGTATGGTGGCCAGGGTGACCCCAAGGCCTTAGGCTCTAGGCCCCCACGCACCTCGCCCTGTCCAGCGTCTTCTGCTCCTCGGCCCTCTGTTCGGCATCCTTCTCTGCCCGGGTGGAGACTCCTGTGTTCTGCTTGCTCCAGATGCTGGGTTTCTGGAGGGTGATTCAAAGAGATCAGAAACGCCACCGACCCCGGCCAGAGCAGACCCTCAGCCATGCAGCTCAACAGGAGGGCGTCAGGGCCAAGGCTTCCCTGAGAACCTGAACAAGCCACAGCGAAGTGTCCTTTTCTAAAACAGGCACCAATGAGGCAGAGTGGACAGACTGACAATGTGCTCCTACTGATTTCTATTTCAGTGTCTAATCCATCTCATGCAGGTGTCTAAATACAAGACAGGGGTCTTTCCCCTTCACATCCATATGCACAGAGACCACCGACACCTTCTAAACCCTAACACAGCATAATTACCCCAGGTTTGGGACCAAGGCAGACAATTCAGTCTTATTTTTACCTTATTCGTTGTCTTTGGTTTTTCCCAAACGCCAGAATCTTTCAGATGCTTTTCTTGCTTGAATTCTTCTTGTTTGCGGAAGAGTTCCGCCTTCAGATCCACCAACTGGAATAAACCACGAAGTGAGCGGGAGTGTCCCATCGGCTCTAGCACGCGACAGGGTTCCTCCGCGATCGCAATTCCCAAAGCCAGACGTCCCTCCCCCTCCAGGGACATGCAACTCAGGGCTCAGACGCAGAATCCAACGCCAGATCAGACCCCTTCCCCCAGCTCTGCTCCAAGTGCATTTCCAGCCTGACTTTCCAAACTCCTGGGCACAGGGGGAGGGGACAATGCAGGGCAAGACATAAATGACGTCGGCGTCATTTATACATTCAGATTCCACAAGCATCATGCGGCTCTGCTCCCAGTGGTGCTGCCATTGGCTTGTCCCTATGGTGACCTCATTTCATCTCCATGACGAGTTACCATCCTACAGGGGACGGTCTCTGGTCAGCCACTATCTGACACTTCACTAAGTGCTGTCACTGTCACCGTTGAAGAGCAGGAAGCAGATGTGAATCAGACAGGCTCCCTGCCTCCAAGGGCCTACGATCTAATGAGAAGGGCAACTGACACTGGCTCAGCCACCACAGCCCACTCTGAAGAAAAAGACATAATGACAATTTCCTTCCTAAGGGTCCAGGCACAACTACTTATATGCGTGGGCCTGTGTGCAGCAGATGTCCACCACTGACTGGCCGTTAAGGAAAATAAGCACAACGGAGTTCAATGCTCTCTGTTTTGGAAGAAATCAATTTAAAAGTGACTTTGGTGAGGATTTTAATAACGCAGAGGACAGGCTGGGCCTGCAGGGCGCACACCTGTAATCCCAGCAATGTGGGAGGCTGAGGCAGGAGGACAGCAAGTTCGAGGCTGGTCTCAGCAACTTAGTGAGACGATTGTCTCAAAATTTGATAAATAATAAAAAGGGCAGGAGATGTGGCTCAGTGGCAGTGTCCCCCAGTACTGGGTGGGGGAAGCCCAACAAAGGACAGTTTCCTTCAGGACCTACTGTTGTAAATTCTTAAAGACAAAAAGGGGGAGGGAAGGAGAAATAGTGGGGAATTGTATCAGCCTAACTATATTGTGATGTTGTGTGCGAGGACAAACATGTGACACTATTGTGTACAACTACGATGCACCCATGATGAACAGGGAGAAAAAAATTTCACTTTATCTTTAAGCCTTCTATTTTTTTCTTTTTTCTTTTGGTACCGGGGATTGAGCTCAGGGTCACTCGCCCACTGAGCCCCATCCCCAGCCCTGTTTGGTATTTTATAGAGAGACAGGGTCTCACTGAGCTGCTCAGGGCCTCCCTAAGTTGCTGAGGCTGGCCTTGAACTCACGATCCTTCTGCCTCAGCCTCCCCAGCTGCTGGGATGACAGGCGTGTGCCACCCTGGGGGCTCCAAGCCTTCTGAATCACATCAAGTGTTCACACCCTGTCTCCCTACTCTACAACTTCTTTCTTATTTTAAAAGAAAAATGTTCAGAAAATGATCAATTCCCAGATGGCATTTCTACTATCATCAGGGAACATTTGATGACTTTAAAGTGACTTTTAACATTTATACCTTTTTAAATTGAATTCTATTTACTTATTGGTACCAGGGATTGAACCCAGGGGTGCTTAACCACCGAGCCCCATCCCCAGCCCTTTTAATTTCTTATTTGGAGACAGGGTCTCGCCGAGTTGCTTAGAGCTTGGCTAAGCTGCTGAGGCTGGCCTCCAACCGGAGATCCTCCTGCCTCAGCCTCCCCAGACGCTGGGATGACAGGCGTGCGCCTTTCCAAGCTGTCAGACCTCACAGCTCCCGCGCAGCACATCCCGTGGGGACCTTGACCCATCAGTTTCTGCAAAGGGGACACGACGCACGCTCCCACCCCCCACCCCGGGGGACGAGGTGACAGATGCAATGTTCTGGAAAGAACGAGCTGGCCCCTGGGTTGGAGGGGAACCCCAAACGGGGATCTGCGTGCAGGGCAGGGCCAGGCCGGGCTTCCTTGCAGAGGGACACACGCTGGCCATCCAGGTCCCCGCGGTGGGGGTGGCCCGGCCTGGCTGCGGCCCGGGGATTCCCAGCCCTGAAGTGTCGCCGGGTCCAAGTCCCTGTCCGCGGGCTGAGCCGGGTCCGGGTGCACGTCACGGGGAGAAGCCAGCTCAGGACCCCTAACTAAGGGACCTGTCCCTGTCCCCCGGGCGGGGAGAGGCCGGCCCGGGTCCCGGTGAGCGGAGCGCCCAGGTCCGGGGCCCGGAGCGCAGAAACCCGCGAGGTCGGGAGGCGGTGCCCGCGGCATTACGTCACACCCGCACTCACCGAGGAGGCCGTAACGTCCAAAGGCTTTTTCCTCCGGTCCATGGTCACTTTCAGGGTCTCCGGCGCCAAAAACGCAGCCCTCCGGAGCGCTCCCAGGCCTCCTAAGGCCGCCCGAGCGGCAACCGGAAATGCCTTTGACTAGCGACGCCGAGTTTCCGACGTGAGTTTCCGACCTCGGCGCCATCTTGAGGACGTCAGTAGGCGGTGCGTACTGTGTTCACCGCCATTTGGGGAAGGTCAGAGGGAGCCCAGGGGTTGAAGAGGGCGGAGGGTATGAAAGGGCGGGTGTTCGACGCCATCTTGAGAAGGGCGAAGTATGACTTTCATTGCAATGGAGGCCATCTTGAGTGGGGAGGGTTGGGTGGTGGAGGTGGAGGGGCGCCATCTTTAGAAGGGCGAAGCAAGCGCAAGCATAGGAAAAACGAAGGTGGATTCTTGAAACTGGGAAAACCCAAGGGGCTCACTGAAGACCTGCTGTATGTCAGGCACCGTCTGTTAATTAATTCATGTTAATTAATTCTCACAAAACTCATGCCACGTGGGAAATGATGGTGTTGATGTTCGCAGAAATCATCACTAACCTGCATGCAGTGCTTATTCTGTGCCACTTCACATATTCAAGTTTATAAGAATATAAACTCCAGAAGGTGGCTTCCTGGGTTGGAATCACTGGGAGGGACTCTCTAGAAACTTCTCTGGGACACCCAATAAAACTGGAGTGGAGGAGAAACTTTGTCCCTCTGCTCTCCGAGAGGACCCACTCTCTCCCTTCCAGCCTCTGGAAGCTGGAAAAGACAGAGATGGACCCTCTGGTAGGGCCTCCAGAGGGACAGGTGACTTCCAGCCTCATAAGGCCTATTGCCACCTCCAGAACTGTGGGAGAATAAATCCGTGTAGCTTTAAGACACTGAATTTGGGGTAGCTTGTTATAGCAGCAAGAAGAAACTGATACAAACCATAACGACTGTAACAAGAACATTTCACTACACATCAGGGCTGTAGATAACTCTTCACCTGGATTGTTTTATTTAATCCTGACAATCCCAGAGGAAGTGCTACTGTCCTCCATGTGATTAAGCAACTGGTCTCTATTTCTGCAAGGAACGACCTGGCATGAGGTCGTGTCAGACAGAGGCTACGGAGCAGGTGAGGCAAGCTACAACTGGAGAGGCCTGCAGAGTCAAAAGACCTGGCAATGCCGAGCGCAGTGGCGCACGCCAGCAATCCCAGCGAGTCGGGAGGCCGAGGCAGGAGGATCGCAAATTGGAGGCCAGCCTCAGCAACTTGGTGAGACCCTGTCTCAAAATTTAAAAAGTAAATAAATTAAAAGGGCTGGGGAGGTGGCTCAGGGGTAGAGCACCCCCGAGTTCAATCCCCAGTACAGGAGGAGGAGGAGGTGGAGAAAGAATTCAAACAACTTACCACTATTCTTCCAGAAAAAAGAAGTCTGCTGCTCACCGTGTGCTCCTCGGCCCTTCCCAGGGGACAGGGCTCCTGGATCTCTGTCCCCTCAGTCACCACCTTCTCTGTACCCTCCCTGCTGTCCCCGCCCTTCATGTACCCAGAGGTGGAGATAATCCAGCCATCAGAGACGAGACCCTCCTGGAGGCGGAGGGGGAGGGGGAGGGGAGGAGGCCCCCACATCATTCCCGGGTCCTGAGCTCCTTATTGCAGATGTCCTGATGTCCACTTTTAATTTCCTGCCTGGTCTCGATGGACACAGATAGAGGCAAACAGAGCTGCAGCCACCGCCAGGGGAGGGAGGCCCTGCAAGAGGCCCTGTAATGGAGGCTGCTGTCCTCTGAGTCCTGTGGGGAAGAGAGCAGTGGTCTCGGTGGGAAGGGGGCTGGGGACATGATCTTGGAGGACCCATGAGCTTGCTGGTTCCCGTGGCCCTCTGGGATTGTCCAGAGGAAGAAGGAGAAGCCGCACACACAGCCTCCATCCTTCCATTCCCAGGAGCCTCTGCCCCAGCACCTCAATTCCGTCCTAAAAGTTCATCCTCAGAATTGTAACATGCAGGGACTTGACTGTCCCCCCTCCCCTTTTTTTTTTTTGGTTCTGAGAATTGAACCCAGGGGCGCTTAACCCACGGAACCACATCCTCAGCCCTTTTCATTTTTTTTTATTTTGAGACAGGGTCTCACTAAGTTGCTGAGGCCGGCCTCCAAGGGTGATCCTCCTGCCTCAGCCTCCCAAGAGGCTGGGATGACAGGTGTGCGTCACCCTGCCCGGCCAGGGCCCCTTACTTTTGTTCCCACATCCATGAATTCATATGGTCCATGAACAGCTTCGAAGTGCCCTTCCACACTGGGAATCCTGCCGAGTGTTCTTCCCGTGCCGTGGAGACCTCACTGAGGATTCTTGTGCCCATTTTGCAGATGAGACAGAGGCTGGGGTGGGGGATTGCTGTGAACACCCTGTGGGCTTCTGAGGGGATCTATCGCACACAGGCTGTGAGCGGGTGTCCATGGGGGGGTGGGGGTGCCAGCTAATCCATAACCAAAGGATTGGAAGAGAAAGGGGGGGAATGAATTTAAGGATCAAACAGGAAATAGGGAGTCCCTTAGGTCAGAAAGGAGGTCAGTCGTGAACCAGGCAGAGGAAGGAGGGGAGGTGGGTGGTGGTGGGCAGGACCCAGGCCCTGCCTGGAGGGGATTAAGGTTTGAGGTGAGGTGTCCCCAAGAGCTCAGGTCTAGAGGTGAGGTGACTGGGTCAGGACAGCCTTCAGCCGGTCCTCTGATAGTCCTCCCGCCCCCAGGTGGCCTGCATGCTGTCTTGCCAGGGTGCCTTCCACCATGTACTGAATGATGCAGGAGGCAGGCCCTCACCGGAAGCCGCTGCCGCGCTCTAGGACTTCCGGCCTCCAGAACTGTGACGTCAGAGATACCCTAAGCTTTCTCATGGCACAAACCAACAAGTTCCCCCCATTTTCCCGTCACTTGTCACCAGAACAGTACCGAACCACACAACGGGCATTTTTCTCTGGAGCCCCCTGGGAAGGGGCTGAATCTGCAGGGAAGACCATGGGAGGTACCTGCCTTCTGAGGCAGGGGAATGCCAGCGTTGGGGACAGGAGGCTGAGATCCGCGGCAACCATAAAAAGTTCCTAATGCCTCGAATAATCAGGCCAAAGTTACCCCAGCAGGCTCGACTTCCCTACCCCAACCAAGAAACGTTTCTTTCTTTACATTCCAGCTTGTAAACCACTCACCTAACTGGCCTTCACCCAAATCCAGACAGGTGGACACTTCTGAGAGCCCCCATTTTATGATCAAGGAGGTTCAGAGAGGTTAAGTGACTGACCCAGGGTCACACAGCTTGATAAATTGTAGAGCCAGGACCTGGAAAACAGGTTCCTCTGGCTTCATGACCCTCAATCTGTTTTTGTTTTTTATGTAATAAATTCTAACATCTTCCTGAGTTTTTTTTTTAATAACAGTACTTGATGGGTGCAGTGGTGTACAACTGTACTGCAGCTACTCAGGAGGCTGAGCAAGGCAGGAGGATGGCTTGGGCCCAGGAGTTTGGGGCAGTAGTGCGCTAGGCCAGTCGGGTGTCCCCACTGCAGCCAGCCTGGGCCACACAGCGGTGAGTCACCCGCTGTGGCCTGTTGAGGACGAGCCGGCAGGGATGGTTCTTCATCAGCTGGGCAGGCTGCTTCCTGCTGCTTAAATAATTAAAAAAAGAAAAGAAAAAAAGTCCTCCTGGTAATTTAGAGAAAAGAAAAACAAAACAAATCAAACCCTGACTGTCACAAGCTCCAGGGTGAGGCTCATTAGTGACAGACGGATTGTCATAGGAGAAGGACCAGGGCTGGACGCTGGGTGTGAGGCTGATCAGCCTCAGAGGGGCGTGGGGTGGGAACTGGGGATGAACTCAGGGGCACTCGACCCCTGAGCCCCCTCCCCAGCCCTATTTTGTGTCTTATTTAGAGACAGGGTCTCACTGAGTGTTTTAGGGCCTCGCTTTTGCTGAGGCTGGCCTCCAACTTGTGATCCTCCTGCCTCAGCCTCCCCTCGGGAAGGAAACTTCTCAGCTCATGGTGTGCTTAGGAAGAAGAGGGAAACAGAGATGGAGGGAGGGAAAGACCGGGTTTAGGGAACATGCACCCTTTCCGGGCACACCCCCAGTGACCCGCCTCTTCTAGTCACACCCCACCTGACAAAGGTTATCATCCAATCCATTCAAACTAGGAGGACTCATTAGGTTCTAGCTCTCTCAGTCCAGTCAAAATACTCCTGAATATTCTTTTTAAATTTTTTCTTCCAATGCTGGGGATTAAACCCAGGGACACTTTCCCACTGAGCTAAATCTCTAGCCCTTTTAATCTTTTTTTTTTTTTAATTTGAGATGCTAAGTTGCTGAGGCTGGCCTCAAATTTATACTCCTCCTGCCTCAGCCTCCCAAGTTGCTGGGATTGGATGTGGGCACCACCACACCTGCTTACCTCTGAATATTCCTGCAAGAACAGGAGCTTTGTGGGGGCCATCATCTCCAAACTGTAGTGGTGCAGCTCAGGAGGCTGAGGCAGGAGGATCGCAAGTTGGAGGCCAGCCTCAGCAACTTAGTGAGGCCTTGAGCAACTTATCGAATAAAAATAAAATAAAAAAGGGCTGGGGATGTGGCTCAGTGATAAATTGCCCCCAGTTCAATTCCCAGGACCCTCAAATAATAATAATAATAATAATAATAATAATAATAATAATAATAATAA